AGACTTCCTCACAAGAGAATTTCTTACAACAAAGAGAGATTCCGAGAGAAAGTGAGAACACCTCTGAGAGAAATTTTTCTTTTCTTCCTTCTTCTTCAAAATAACTTCAATCTATGGAAGAACTAAGTTCTTCTTTTCAATCTTTAGAACTTAGCTCTGCTAGTTCTTCAACCAAGAAGGAAACTCATATCGATGGTAGAGTTTTAACCTTCATGTGTTGTATCAATAGGATAGCACCATGCTTACCTTTTGATATCAAGATGATGATCTTTGCGAAAGCAAAAATCGTTCGTTCAAAAGAAATTCTTGATCTTCAACCTAAACCTTTTCATGGTAAAAGTTCATTTGCCACAAAAAGGAGATTTAAAAGTTTCAATATGTGCCACAATTGTGGACACTATTTTCGTGATAACTTTGATCCAGATCACTGGAATTATGATCTAGGTCGATGGAAACATGATATAGATTCAAAATTCAAACGTTCAAAAAGGAATCGTTGCAAAGTGAGGATTGAAGGTAATTATATTACTCATATTTGGTAAGTTTTCATAATTCTGTTAAAAAATTTTCTTGAAAATTATTTAGTTTTGAAGCATCTATTCATAATCTTCTTTAAAATATTTTATTTTGAGTATCTCAAGTTTTTAAAATAAAAACAGAAAGAGATTTCAAGCTTTAATTTAGTAGCTTCAAAGAAGGGATGATGGCTTAGGCAGCAATTGGTTTATTCTTCCAGTAGCATGGTTCGAAACTCTTTGGCAGTGAGTGTAAGTCCATGGATGAAGAGTAGGTAATCAGCCCATTAATGCTGGAGAATAATTTTGCCATTTGTATGCCACATCGATTGACTGGAGTTGCTATGAGATTAAAGTTTCGGATTGTTTTCTCAGTTTTATTTTAAATCACTTCTTTTACTAAAAATAATATATTAAGAAGAAGAAGATGAATAGTAGCTAAAAAGACTAGTTGGCTTTCAAGAAAAAGATGAACAGGAATTTGCAAACTATTCAAATATGGTGGATGATTACTTTCAAGATTTCTATTGCAAAAGAATTCAAGATTCCTGTGGACGATTTGACTAAAGTAAAGTTTTGATAAAGAGACTTTAACTTTTGTCACCTCAAACTTTCGGCTGAAGATGAAGACAAAAAATTGTTCCTACTTTTTGAAAAGTAGTCGACAAAGTACTATTCAATCAAAGCCTCAATCAACT